TCGTTTCTCACGCCCCCTTGCCTGCAAAATACTTGCGGGTGGGCTTTTGAGCCCGGGGGTCTTGACCGACCCCCATGCCCGGGAGAGAGAGAGAGAGAGAGAGAGAGAGAAGAAGAAGAAGAAGAAAAAGTTAGGAAGTGACTGGGTAGGAAAAATAGGGCCATCCCCTACATATCCTCGGGCTCTTAGGGTGTAGGGTTGGGCTGGTGAATTTAAAGGGATTCGGGGGTTTGGGGCTCGGGCTTGACCTATACCCAATACCCATCCAGCCTGCCTGGCTGCTGACGTACATAAGGATCCACCTCTTTGAAGACTCCCCCGCAACATCGACCTGCCTGGCTAGTTACCTGTACCATATATATATATATATCTACCCCTATCGACCTAGATGGCGAGCTGCGAGCTACCTACCCACCTACCTCGTCAACCAATATCCAACCCATCTACCTGCCGACTTTCCTACATGAGCATTGCATAGATGTATGATATATTTGGGATTTGGGGTTTAGGGATTAGCTATAATCTATGTATATCATTCATATGATGAGACAGCAAGTACTAAATAAACCGATCTATTAATATAGAGAGTTTAATTAGTACTTGCTGTCTCATTATATGAATGATATTGTATACGGTTTACATGATATACATGCACATGCAAACATACACCACTCTCTTGACTCTGTGTGATGTAGGTACATACAAATGCACGAAGCCCTTGCCTTAAAAATACTAACATCCTAGCCCCTCTCCCCACAAAACTCTATAACTCCGAAAGTTTTTTAGAAACCTGAAAACCTTTAAGCCATGAAAGGCCTTGGACTCTATAAGCCCGAAGCACTGAGCTACTTGACACCCGAAGGTTGGACTTCCTATAGGATCTGGGTATGTGTTGGGTTGGCTGCTTTCTAGGATTTGGTATGACTTTACCCCAGGATGTCTGGAACAGGGCTAAGCATATATTCATTAGTAGATAGATCAGTCGGTGCCTCACAAAATAACCATAACCATTGAGGCTCGCACAACCTACGGACCAAAACACCTGAAATTACATAACCCGTCCTCTATACCCTGAACCATGAGCCCTTCAAGCCGGCCCTATTGTTGGCGAGGCACCCGGACATCTTCAGCTCCTTCCTGCACCCCGTGAAGCGGGAACGGCCCTGCTTGTCGAGGTGTCTGCCTTGGCCGTGGGTGGCTGGGTATTGGGTATGTAATATATATTATTGCCCATTATCGATCGAATATATTTCAGGAATGGTGCGGACCGTAGTGAGCCGGTTGCGCTTCAGCTTTTCGGCTTTTGTGAGAGGGCCACGATCCAGCTGAGCTATCGTAGGCATGGGAGACAGCACAACGGTGGGCTTTGGGCTCGGTGCACCATGCAGCATCATCCAAAACCGTTGTTCGAAAACCTTGGTTCATCAGATATCAACAGGCCACAGATACGAACTTGAATACATACAATAAGGCATGCAAGTTGATCGAGAGGCTCTCACGACTTGGTTGCACATCCAGTCCCAGCGAGGGTGTGTCTTCAGCAACGACTGGTGGGGCTGTTCGATAATCCAAGTGCACTGTCTAGCCATGACGAGGAGCAGGAAGAGCACAAGCCTAGCAATTGCAATTGTACTTCGGATGCATGATGACACGGGCTCTGAATAACTCTAGTTGCAGGCCTGCTCACCAAGCAGTTGTTCGAGGATACCCAAGTAAGCCCCATCCTCCCAAATGGGTTGATCTTCGACCTCATGCTTGTGGCCCTTGCTGGCAGGCCCCAGCTGGAGCAATCCGGGCCGACGAGATTGCAGGCGTCGGGGCATTCGTTGAGCACCACCCAGCAGGCAATCCTAGGCGACACGTGTTGGTATTATATGTATATGTTCGGGGGTTTCAACATACTTGCAACGGTGGCTCGTGAAGCCCTGGTTTTGAAGGAAGTTCATCGGGTCGCCGTAGAGTTTGTCGAAGCTTGCAGTAGAAAGCCCCTCTGCATGCCTCGAAACACAAAGGTAAAACTTGCTACAGTGCTACAGCCTGCTACATAAAGCCACTTTGCACATCGTCGATTGGTACATATGTATACACATGTAAGATTCCCACCAAAGCTGTGTAACCTTCCCTTCCCCAGAGAACAGCTCGAAGAACTCGTACTTCTCCTCGAATGCCAGCGTAGTCATCCACCGGAGTAGGAGAACCTTACATGCATGGGAGTACATAGGGTCTAAACTCTAAACACCACTGCCACAAACAGCCTAGCGCACACACACAACTGCAGGATACGGGGCTGTTGCAATGAACACCTCAGCTAATGAAGGCAGACATATACAAGCTCATTGCGTGTCGCTTCCTAAACACCAGGGCCTAAGGGTTTAGGGTTTAAGTTTAATTTTAAGTTTAGGGTTTAGGGGTTGCTGAGCCGAGGCACTTTGGGTGCTTGCAACTGCACCAGATTTACAACCAGTGAGTTCTCCATGGCACACGGACAGGATAGGTACGTAGATCGTTGCAAATTGCAAAAGCACACAAAAGCCAGGCATGAGTCGGATACAATATGTGCCCAATAGATTCCTACCCATTTAATCTTTGGAGGCTAGATATAGAATCATCATGGCTGGACAGCTCACACACTGCGGTTCATGAGTCTTGCACACAAGTCGCACTCAAAACTGCTTCCAAAGCGAGTGGGTCGTGGAGCACAAACCTCACGGGCCTGCTCTGGCAGCTCGGACTTGCCATCCTTGTACACGATCATTCTGTGGAGGCATCCTGGCAATATGTGGCTGGGGCGTGGAAGGGTCTGTAGGCGCTTGTGCAGTGGTAGCACATGCTGACAGCAAAGAAGATTCACTGCACAGCGGTTGTAGCAAGTCGTGGCACTATTTTCGATGGACAAATGTGCGGGATGTTCACACCGGCTCGGACCCCCTGGTGTTCTTGCTGACACCACACATACACCCCTTCGCAGTTGGCAAACTGTTTGCACGAGCGAGTAAAACCCAAAGGATGCCATCGGTCATGTGCATCCAGCACCATGTATAGGCGGCTCCACGATCGAATCAGCATGTCTCACTGTATGCCTGCACATGTTGTGGCTATTAAGTTTACACTGCACATGTGACAGAAACTGCACAGCTACCTGCAAATGCATTGCATGGGCACCTGCTTGGCTGCGGCTCTGCACTCCTCTTCTGACTTGCCTTGGTCCTTGGCCTCTTTAAAAGCCTTGTGGTAAGCCACTGATTTCCGGCTCTTTGCTTCCTTTGCAAGCTGCTTTGCATCCGCCTGTGCTGCTCCTGGCTTGCTGCTGTTCGGCTTGCTAGCCTTGTTCTTGCAACCAGCCTTAGCTTTGGGCTTTGCATCGTCCTTGCTAGCCTTAGCAGTCTTGGGCTCCTTGCTTGCAGCCGGTTTGGCCTTGCTTGCAGAAGGTTTGGCTTGGCTCGCGATCGGTTTGGGCTTGCTTGCGGGCTTCAGGCTCTTTGCTTCGGTCTGTGCAAACTTCCTTTTCGGCGCTTTTTTTGGGGGGGACGGTGTTTCATCCTCCTCCTCCTCCTCTTCCTCCTCCAAAGCTTTGTCTTCCTCTAGCTCCGTGGCATCGGCTTCCACAGACTCAGCATCATCGTCATCATCTTCATCTCGAGTTGGGGAAACTCCTTTCTTGCCCCGCCCCCTTCCCGGTCCCCTACCCTGCCCGGCAGAGCGACCACGCCCACGGCCGCCACGGCCGCCACG